TGGTATAAAACTTGCAGTTTGTCACTGAGTTACGGGGTCAGACACAAACTTTTCAGAACTAGAGAACAGCCAAGGACCATGTTACTATTACAGGACTGTTCTTCCAGCAAGAAGCAGTTAAAGAGGCTTGGTCTTTATTTGCTTTCTGTGTCTTTTCTATTGTGTAGCTCAGGGAAAGAAGGAACTAGCAAGTTAGGCCAGGTCCACACTCAGAATGCGTTGTCAGCACAGGATCATGTATTATAATATAATGCAGTATATTGTGCTGGCACAGCATTTCAATGCAGATGCAGCTTATAACAGTGAAAAAAGGTTTTTACATTATAACATCTTGATTACCTGGGAGTGACAAGTTGTTTTTTTGTGCACAAGTAACTTCTGACAACATAACTATTTGTCAGGTCACACACCAGGTGCTGATCTGTGCATAACTCTGCCAACACAAAATCTGTAGAGCAGTCCTGGCCTTTGAACCATGGGGGAGCCTCTACCTGGAAAACACTGCTTGGGCTTCTTAAAACCTCTGGAGTGGCATATAAAAATTGGAAGAGGACAGGGAACATGAAATAGATTTTTTCTAAAGCTCATTCTGACACAGACTGAGAATTTGAGTTTCACAAGGAAACAAAACTGCATAGAGTGCAGAGATACAATATTACAGCATCAAGGGCCTCTGTCCCTTACAGAGAGATCCTCTGAGCTCATGGAGCACCAGCACAGCTGCAGTATTTCTATGTGAGTGGTCAGTCTTCAACAGGATTGAAATACAACCCAGTAGTATTGGGAATTTCCTACAAAATATGTTTTTGAATAGAAATAGCTACTTATTTTTGTTAGTGTGCAGTAGTGTGCTCAAGGTGCCATTCTGAAATGGTATGTGCCCTGAAACTGAAGTGACTGGAAAATAAAACCCCTCCATTTTTTAAAAATCAGGCCAATTCATGATTACGATTTTTAAAACAATGCTTTTTTTTATGGAAAGGGAGTTTTTGCATATCTCCACAGCATACCATTAAGATAGAATATCTTTCTGTTCTGTGCATGCTGATTATGATAATTTCTGTTCTACTGTAAAATCTTCTAGGTAGTGAGGCATTTTTTTCTGTTTTCCTGGAAGCATCTTTTATTGTTCCAGTAAAACTGAATTTTCACAAATAATATTGAAACTTTTGAAAGGCAGCATATTCCCCATCTGAAAATCATTCCATATGATTCCCAGCTAACTGTCAATCTACACAACCAGCCGGGGCAATTAGCTCTGCATGATAGCACAGCTGTTGAATAACCTTGGCATCAAGGTTACAGCAGTTCAATGACCAGGCTAGACAACGAATGCTTCAGGGCATTCCCTCATGGTAGAAACGGCTCTTGCAAAGGGCCTGCCTCAGTTTCCCACTCCCAATGTCTACTAAGTTGATCAGCTTTTTTTCTTTGGGGGGGTGGTAGTGGTGGGGCAGAGGTGGGGGGCACTGAAGTCTTTATTCATCTCTTAACTGATGTTGTTATTTAGCTTTCAATTCAGACTTCTTGACTTAGAATCAGCTTCTTCTGTTCCTCTTCCACTGCAATCAGCAGATTTTCTCCAGCTTGGAATGTCCATAATAGTCCAATCTTCCATCAATACATGTTGAACTTCACTCATCCAATCAGTCTCAATTCTCACTCTTCACTCTCAATTTGTCCCAGATGAGAGAAGGAGAAATCTTACAATGCAAGATTCTGCAAACCAAGCCCTTATGGGGACAGTGGCCCTGCATTCTAACTTGCTCCTGACACTAATAACTCCCAAGACACTCTTCTCTCCAGCAAAGGCTGCATCAAATATTTTTTAAACAGATTTCCTTAGGCACACGAGCAATTGATCTTGCAAAACATCCCTTCTGGCCTTAAAGGCTCAGTGTTCAAAGTCTGTACAACAAGGCTTATAAATTAAAATGATAAAAAGTCACAGCAGAAAAAAAGAGAAAAAACATCAAATATGACTTTAGGAGGAAGGAAGTGAGAGTTGAACATCACTGGATCTATCACCCAGTTTTAATTTGCAGGTAGAGTGGAGATGTCATGAAAACTTCATCATAAAAGGGGACCAGCTCAGGAACTGAGTCATTTAATAATGCCAGTCAGGACAGAGCTGATATTCATCATAAACTCTAGGGAATCTGCAGATGGAATGACTGGGCTGCTACCTAGGAACTAGTAAAAAATCAGGCATTCTGTGAGAGAACAGGACTTAGTAGCGATGATGATATTGGAACTTACAGGCTGCAATTGCCAGACACACAGTCAGGACCTGAAAATTCAGCTACCAGACCTTCCCATGACTCTGCTGCAGCTCTCTCTTCTTTCCCCTACTGCTGTTCTGCTGTGCCACCTCGTGCTCACCAGCTGACACTGCTGCATAGAACGGGACACCTGCATATCATTAAAATCCTTCATGTTGGGCTTTGTGGGGCCAGAGCAATGTTCACCTGCGCCGGCTGGCACAGCTGTAAACATGTGAACATGGAACCTTGTACTGTCAAAATCCGTTCTGTATTCTTGTGAAGGCCGAGATGCTCACAGATGTTTTCAGACTTCAGTGATTACAGGCAGAGTTTTGAGTTCATTTAAACTCAGATTGTTAGGTAAAACCTGTATGGTGGACATTTTCCACAATTGCTGCCAGAGCCATTGCACTGTCTGCTGTCCTCTGGGCTGTGTAGCAGCATCTCCCAGGGCCCAGAGCAGGGAACACACATTCAGAAATTTCATGTTCTTTACCAGCTTTGATGCTGACTTTAGTATTGTGAATAACCATGTGACTACCTCGTGTTTTTTACTTACTTCACTGTAAAATGGATGACATTTATTTCACCAGAGTGACAGAGCTTTGGCATGATTTTTCATAGCAGATGGGGCTTTAGAGATCTGTAAATGACATTGCTTTAACAAACTGGCAGAAACACCTTTCTGATGACAGGGCACACACCGGGAGTTTCGCCGAGTACCCTTAACAGAAGGAAGCACAGCGATCCAAACAGCTCAAGAAGATCTTCGCATTTAGCAAATTTTCATAACATTTGTCCAGAAATATTCATATTCTTTGATTTTTTCAGGAACTGCCATCATTCAGGTTACATGGGGACTTTCAGGTGCCAAACCCCTCACTTTAGGCAAGCATCCTTAAAGACTTGACACGGCGAAGAAACTCTTCCTCTAAGCAAAAAAATTGTAGAAATTGTGCAACTTGGGAGCCAGCTTGACAAACTCCTCACTGCAGTCGACCTGGCCTCATCCATCCTGTCATGGAAAGCCCAATCACAAAATGTATCGGCTCTATAAAAACGCTGCAGCTCGGACCCAGCAGCTCAGCCGCGAGGGGTCAGTGCTCCACCAGCAGTGCTGCGCTTGGGCTCCGCAGGGAAAATCCGCTCAGCTCCGCACAGTGCGACAGGGGGAAACTGCTTCATCAGTGCCTTCTAACCCGTGGAAAAACAGCCTCCAGATCAAGGCAAACAAACTGCAGCAAGCTTATGAATATCACCAATTCCCGTGCTGGCCTGCCAAGTACTGCTGCAGGATTTGTGTTTGGGATTCTCAAAGGATTAGGCCTCCTCCTTGCTTGGGAAGCGTGCCTGGGTCAGCAGAGCAGGCAGGAATGCAGCCATTCCCAGCACTTCGAGCATGGGCTCAAACTGGGGAGTCATTTCTGCTACTGCCTAGGGACACTGACAAGCTGATTGTGGTCAGGAGAGCCTAACATCAATTTCTGAGTAAGAATAATGAGTATTGAAGGAGTATAATGATGTCTTAAATTTATATGAATTATATTCCAGTTACATGAAATATAGATAGTAAGAGGACAATAACTGCTTTTTACTTAAGTAAGCCACCTCTAAGCTGTTTCCTGTTTCCTGGGGGTGACTTTTATCAGTTGAATTTCTAACCCTATTTTTCATGCTTCAGAGCTTTCGCTGAGAATTGGGAAGAGCAAGCTCACACTGCCACAGAGATGGCTTTGGTGACCATGTTTCCCCCTTTACATCAGTCAGGCTGTGCAGTCACTGTTCTGGTACCTGCTCCTCACAATGGGCAGAGGTTGCAGCTGGCACAAGGAAATCAAGAGTGCAGCAAGAGCCATACCCTGAATTGCATCCACGAGAGCCTGTTAGTTGCAATACACTGGAGAGGTCTGTCTCAGCTGATCTGATAATATTTTTTAGGAGTTCCTTAGGCAGGTGCTTAACAAGAACCATCCAGGGGAGGAGTAGGCATATCCTTTCCTCTACTGCCTCATTCAACCTGGACTTCTTTACATCAGTGCCTTCCATGCCATGAAGAGAGTCATTTAGATGAGCTCGAGAGAAGGACTCTACCTGCAAAGGGACACAAATGACACCAGAAACAGATTCATCTGCCCAAATGTATTTGCTCTGTTTTAGTACCACTGCTGCCTGTGACAGCAGCAGAGATGGAGATGTTGTGGGATAGGAACAGGACAAAACCAAAGGAAGGGAAAGCTGACAAGTCTGGGTTGGGTAGGAGGGGCAATGGGAAAGCTGCAGTTGGTAGGAAAATATTAAAACAAAACAGAACCGATTGCAGCTTTCCACTTCTGGTTCTTTAAGTGAGGTTCCTCTGCAAAAAGACTGGGAAACCATTGCACTGCATCACCGGAAAGAATCATGGGAAATTATAAGCACATTTTTAGAAACAGCAAGGACTTTGGGGGCTTGCTTTACTTAGTTAATGAAAATTCAGAAGCCTAATGACAAAACTACTGCTAAAAAAAACACTTGCAGGAAGATGCAGATGGCATATGGTACAGTTACCCTAGATTGGTTTGTCTAAACTACAGGAAATTCTTATGTCACAGTTAACCTGACCCTGGTTGCATTCTGGTGGTAGCTAATTTTTATTTGTGTTTTTTGTTATTTTCCTTCATTCACTCACCAATATATTTTAAATAAAAACCTGAAACAAATGTGCCAACATTTAAGATGTTTTTGCTTATATTGCAGGTGCAACACTGAAGAATATGTTTCTAGAAATGGATGCACCCCCAACACAGCATAGCATGGCAGTTCCATGACACTATACCAAGACCAGAATCAACAAGGGTTTCTCTCTGGAGATCTCACCAGAAGTTTTACAGCAGAAAATCATGCCAGTCTGTTGGAATGACAGGCACACTAAGGAATTCTGGACAACCACACGCCCCTTAAACCATAGTTGCAGATGGCTGGTAACTAATACTCTTTTTTAAAAATAAAAACAAACCCAAGTTCAGTAGGATTGTGAAAATATTCATGTCATGATAAGGTTTAAGAAAAAAATGATAGCATACTTCTGTCATATCATGCCACACAACAATTGAAAATACCACTATATTTTTAAAACACAGGTATGTGCAGAATGAGCTTTCATTTGGGAAGCTGTTATGAAGAGGTAAAATAGTTTCCTGTTGTACTAATTTTTCTTTAATTTTAGAGAAAAGCTTTATATATTTTATGGTAACAAAGCCACAAGGTTCTAATGCAGATTACACTGGTATGGCAAGATACTGCCTAGGAAAAGGTATTTTTTAAAAAACAAAAATTATTAGGAAGCAGAATATAGTACACTCTATATTGTCCAAAAATGTGTGTTTATCTTAGCAGAAATTGTGAATAGAATGAGTTATATGTGAAAATCACCATCAAAAAGATAAATTGATTCCATTGTAAATGAGAGAAAACAGTTCTTAATATTCATCATAACAGCTGCACTTAACCTTATCTGAAGTTTTCCTTTTCTAATGGAAAAACTGTTCTCAAGGTACTAGACAATATATGCTGTTAACCCAGTTTTCTTTTTCTTTTTTTTTTTTTTTTTTTTTTTTTTTTTTTTTTTTTTTTTTTTTTTTTTTTTGTGGCTTTCTTGGAGTTAGTTTAAGTCATTTTCATACCTCAGTTTGATCCTGGTCTTGGCTGTCTTATATTTTGAGAATAAATGGGAAAAACTGCTATGCTTTGTAGATGAAACCTGATGATTAAATGGTCCCCTGCGGCCATGGTGTGTTTATAGAGATCTTTACAACCTCTTTGTTAGTATCCTGCCTTGGACAGTATTTAGGGGTGGTATCTTTGCCCTGAGATTTGCTGTCATGGGGAAAAGTGGAAGAAGGATATGAGGCTGGGAACTGCAGCAAGGGAAAACTACCTTAGATTAGATGCCTGAATTTTTATGTCAAAAGTTAATTTCTACCTTAGATCATTAATAATGTAAAGAATATATAACGACAGTATTGAAGAGATTGTCTGCATTTTGCAGAATCTGGGTTTTAAAATGCATGATATAGCAGGACTAGGAAGCTATAAAGTGAAATCACTTCCCCTAGCTATGGAGCTTTTTCAGTATTACTCGACACTTATGAAGAGGAAAGCTTCCCTCTCCAATGCTCCAAGACTGCCAGCATAAATCAACTTTGAGAATGTACTCGTTTTAAGTATCTCCTGAAAATATAGATTATAAGCATCTAAGACCCTCTTTCATGGAACACAACAGTATTTCTGAAGACTGCTTTGAAATTGTCATTTAACCTACAAAAGCCTGAAATGCCAAGGAATTCGTCATACAGGCATTTTCCCCTAAAATACTAAGAGATATATTAGAATTGAGCTAACCAAATAATAATAAACATAGGGCTTAATATTCCAGCAATAGACAGTGTGCACAAGAATTAATTGTTCCTCACACAAGTGATCCCTTTCCTTTTGCAATTACCACAGTAGCCTCCTTCAGCTCACCACCATCCCTTGTAATGAAGAGCCCAGAACCTCGAGGCAGAATTTATTCTCCTTGCAGCACACTAACATCTCTTCCCTGGGTTTCAGGCTGAGTAACTGACTTCATGGAGGAAAACAAAGGCAACAGGAAGAAAAAAGTAATCGTGCTCCCACATACTAAAGGAGACAGTATTTCAGTGGAGACTATTCTTTTTCCCACCCTACAGGCACAGAGCAACAAATGATTTGTCTAACTTTATTTACCTCCAGGGTGTCTTTCCAGCTGCTGCTCTTCTCCCTCTAAGCCCAGCTCATCTGTAACAGCTAACCAGCCTCGCCTGCTGCTGTCTGCAAACCAGAGGGAAAAGGTGCAGACAAGACAGATAACTTTTAGTGCTCTTACGTAGGTTCAGCATTGACATAAATAGCCTGTCCAGGTCCCTCTGGATGGCATCCCTTCCCTCCACCATGTTGATTGCTCCATATATCTTGGTGTCACTGGCAAACTTGCTGAGTTGCACTTGGTCCCGCTATCCATGTTAAATAGGGTCAGTCCCAAAGCCAGCCCTGGAGGAATGTCCCCTGTCACTCTTCAATTGGACATCAAGCTTTTGGCCACCACACTTTGAGCATGACCACCCAGCTACTTCCATACCCACTGAGTGGTCCTTCCACTTTCCAGTTAAAAGCCAAGGATGTCACGTGGGACAGGGTCAAATGCTCTGCACAGGTTCACATAGATGTGACTTGCTCTCCCCTCATCCACTAGTGCTGTAACACCACCAAATTTGTCAGGCATGATTTGCCCCTCAGTGAAGTCATCACTTCCAATGTTTTCTACATGCCTTAGCACAGTTTCTACAATGATCTGTGCCATGACCTTGCTGGTCACAGACTGACTGGTCTGTAGTTCTCCAAATCTCCTTTTTTTCCCTTTTTAAGGATGAGTGTTATGTTCCCCCTGTTACAATCATTGGGAACTTCACTGGACTGCTGTGACTTCTCAAATATGATTGATAGTGGCTCATCCACTTCTTCCACTACTTGCCTTAGGACCTGCAAATGAATCTTGTCAGATTCCATGTTCCTTTGCACCTTCAGGTGGCTTAGATGTTCTTGAACATGATCTCCTGCTACAGTGCACAGCTCTTCATTTTCCCAGTCCTTGCCTTTGCCCTATGAGACTCAGCCAGTGTGGCTGGAACACCTGTTGGTGAAAACCAATGAAAAAAGTTCTGAGCAACTCAGCCTTCTCTGCATCCTGAGTAACCAGGCATAATGCTTCCTTCCAGACAGGGCTCATTGTTTCCCTAATCTTTCTTTCATCGCTGACATACCTATGGAAGCTATTCTTGGTGCCCTTCATGTCCCTGACCAGATTGAATTTTATCAGGACTTTAACTTTCCTCACCTGATCCCTGTCTGCTTGGACAGTGCTGGTGAGGACAATTTCTCTGTATTGCTACCAGACTTTTTCTTGCTTCCATCCTCATTGACTTATTTTTTTTGTGTTTGTTCAGGATCTTCTTGTTCATCCGTGCAGGCTTCCTGGCCTTTTTACGTAATTTCTTCTTTTTAGGGTTGCATTTTCCTGAACTTGGAGATTACCTTTGAATATCAATCAGCTTTTTTGGACCCCTCTTCTCTCCAGGGCTTTATTTCATGGTATCCTAGCAAGCAGATCCCTCCTTAAGAGGCAAAAATCTGCTCTCCAGAAGTTCAGGGTAGTGATCTTGCTGTGTGCAGCCTCCTCACACTTGCACCATGACACTCTAAGCTCCTGGGTTCAATCCATGCTGCCAAAAGAAAACTGTGGATCTGCATTACACACCATGGAAAAAATGCTTGTGGGTAGTATGTTCTAGTCTGTTCTGGTTCTCCCAGTGGAGTTTAATGGTTGCTGATGCAATGTTGGGGAAAGCTCAAAAAATCTTCAGGGCTTAATAAATCTCAATTTAAAGAACCAATGGAAAATTCCCTTCCTCGAGGTTGTATTAAATAAGGTCTTACTAAGATTGTCTGTACATGAGTTTAAAGGAGAATCTTTTATTTAAACTTGTTATATTAGCCATGCAACACCTCTTTAACAAATGAAGACAGGCTGGTGAAATTAATATGAATTTTAAATATTCACTGCACGTAAGTATTCAATAACTCATGCAGTATGTAGCTGTGAGAGCACTTTTCTTCACCTGCATTCAGACTAACATACTGTCATTCCCCTTTGGTGTTAGATGGATTTTTTTAACTTTTCAAATGATGTAACAGAAAATTTAAGATTAAATATGTAAACTTTTTCAGATTTTTGTGGGTACAAAACTTCAAAGCAGCTTGCATGAAACTGTTCACCTACTTCCTGTCCTGATTTTGCAAGACTGGAAGCAGTGACCGGTTGTGTCTAGACAAAGATCAGAATAATAATTAAAATAATAATACCATTATGCTGAAGACAACCTCCTAAAAGGAAGAGAGGGTTTCCCCCTCCCCTCATCTTATGGTTCATCAAAATGTAAGAAAAATTATTCTGGAAAAATTATTTAAAATAAAACTATATTCTCCTCGAGACATCAGTTCTTGACATTCCTTCTTTTAATGCAGAATTCATTGAATTCCCAGTACAAAGACCAGGTACCTGAGTACCCTTAACAAACCCACATGTGCTGCTATGAGTGGAGAGAGCACTCACCCCTTTAAAAAACTGCAGTGCAAATAATCTCATACTAGTAAAATTGTCTGAAAAAAATGTAGGAAGAAATACATGAATTGTCATGTAAGTGTTCCTTCCAAAAGCAAAGTATTAAAACAGCAGTCAGGTATCCCAGTCAGATGTAAAGGATGGGAACTTAGGCACAAGCCCCAGAGCAATACTTTGCTTCACTCATAATATTCCATTGTTCTCAGTAAGCTGGAACATTTGGTGGCAGGATTTTGGAAATGCTGACATTTTACAGTAAATGCACAGGATGCACAATAAAGTTGCAGGTAAATGAGGAATATTTAAGAGAGAACAATATTACATATTCTGACTTCTACTTAAGGAAAAGAATAAAACTTCTTGATCAACAATGTATATGCATGGTACATATATATATAAAATAATAATAATAAGTGTGTATAAACACACTTTAAAAAAAGATTTGTGCAAACTTAAGTTCAAGAATAGGGAAGAAATCTCAAGCAGGTACCTTTTGAAAATCTGAGTAGCAGATTAATAAAGTTTCAGTACAAACATGGTTTATTATGTAACTAAGATACATGCATTTATATGCTGTTTAACCTATTTTGTTAATTATTTTTCATATGTCATATCTAATGTACATATGCTTTATGTATTATATTTTAGTTACCATATTCTACATTGCATATTAAAGTCACTTGGATTCAACGTTGTTTGGTCTCTAGTCAATATCACATTATTGTTTTATATGATGTTATCGGATTATTCTTTCCAATCTGTAAATTCTTTATTCAGAAAAAAAGACCCCTCCTACTGCTTATGAATAATTTATTTTCTTTAAACCCCCAGCCTATATCAAAGAGATAAAAAAGCAAAATTCACTTCTCTAATTCTTCTCCTCTGTATAGGACTGCCTTATCAGTCAATCATCACTGCAACAATCAGAATATCAAGATAAAAATACTGTAATCTTATCCTGATAGTCTTATATTGAATATTTAAATTGATTCAGTCGTATCTGTCACTCAATTACAAAGACTTTTAAAGTCCTTTTAACAATTTGCTTAATGTTAGCATAATTGTAACCCTGCATTAATGCTCCTAAGTAGAAAATTGCAGAAAGGGAAGGAAGGAGCCCAGTTTTTCCATGATGGAACACCAATATAATGAAAGCTGGCACAACCTGAAATGCAACAGCAGTCATACAAGTGCAAGAAAGTACAAACCTACATATTCCTATCAGGGATCCTTTTGAAGGTGTATATTGAGTAATGAGGAAGGCAATAATAATGAAAATGAAAGGAATATGACTCAGTTGATGATGCATTAAGAAGGAGCATCTTGTTTAACACACATAGAACAAAGAAAGGCATGTTGCTGTCACTACAGAAATTAACAAAACACCATAAAACACACACCAGGCAGTCTGCTAGGTACCAGATAACAATCCACGGTGCTCTTCAGTACCTTCTGGCTGAGCACACGATGGCACAAGGAGGGCTGGAGCGCTCACCTGGCGCTGCAGAACCCTGCTCTGCTCTCCGACATGTGGGACTCCCACCCACGGAGCGCTCACCCAACCACACACAAACCACTTCCACCTCTGTCACATAATTCCTACAAACAAACAGCCCCAACTGTTTCCAGCTGAGCAGCTTTGCCCCAGCTTCTATCACGGCACCCAGGAAGCACGAAGCGCTTTGAACACCTGAACCTGTGCGCTTTGAGCACACCAACTCAAAAGGCTCTGCCAAGCTGTGGAGAGCAAGGCTCACGCCTGACCTCACCTCCCCATGGGGATGCTCCTCCAAGGCAGCCCCAGATCCTCGGGCCACCAAGACCTGCCTTGAACCAGACTACCCAGCTCCGTGTCCCTTGTCCCTCACAGCACCTGTGTCCGCTGTCCCTCACAGCACCTGTGTCCGCTGTCCCTCACAGCACCTGTGTCCCTTGTCCCTCATGACACCTGTGCTTGCCCTCCCCTTACAGCACCTGTGTCCCTTGTCCCTCACAGCACCTCTGTCCCCTGCCCCTCACAGCACCTCTGTCCCCTGCCCCTCACAGCACCTGTGTCCCTTGTCCCTCACAGCACCTGTGTCCCTTGTCCCTCACAGCACCTCTGTCCCCTGCCCCTCACAGCACCTCTGTCCCCTGTCCCTCACAGCACCTGTGCCTGCCCGCCCCTCAAGGCGCTCCCCGGTGGGATGCTGCTCACACCTGCCTCACCTCACGAGGCCCCCAAATCATGCACGAGGACTAAGCACAAGGGATTTGTGTTCCTGGAGGATTTGCTGGGAAGGAGCCTGAGGGTGCTGACCTTCTGCTCGCTCGAGAGGTTGGTTGTGGGAACTGCAGCTGAGTGGGGCCATTTTCTCCCACCTCCCTCAGCACTTTGGGAGGCAGCTGCCTGCGGTGCTGGAGGCAGAGGACTCGGCTCTTCCGTTTCTGGAGGATAGGAAGGCTCTGAAGAGGGATCTGGATGGGCTGGATGGATCGGCTGAAGTCAACAGCATGAGGTACAAGATGGCCAAGTGTCACACATTCCCACAACAGCCCCCTGCAGCACTACAGGCTGAGCACAGAGAGGCTGGAAATTGGCCCAGAGGAAAAGGTCCTGGGGGTGCTGGTCAGTAGTGGCTGAATGAGCCCAGGTGGCCAAGACGGCCAAAGGCACCTGGCCTGTGTCAGCAATGGTGTGGCCAGCAGGACCAGGGCAGTGATGAGGCCACACCTCGTGTGCTGCGTCCCGCTCTGAGCCCCAGAATTCAGCACCGAAATGCTGTGACCAGTGCAGAGAGGGGAATGGAGCCGGGGAAGGGGCTGAGCACAAGTGCTGCGAGGAGCAGCTGGGGGAGCTGGGGGTGTCCAGCCTGAGCAAAGGAGGCTCAGGGGGCTCACGGCTCTGCACAGCTCCTGACCAGGAGGCTGCAGCCAGCTGGGGCCGGCCCTGCTCTCAGGGAACAGCACAGGGTGAGAGGACATCGCCTTAAGCTGTGCTGGAGGCTCAGGTTGAACATTGGAGGAAATCCTTCACAGAAAGGGTGATTAGATATTGTAGTGGACTTCACAGAGAGGTTGTGGAGTCGCTGCTCCTGAAGGTGTTTAAGGAAAGACTGGATGTGGTGCTCAGTGCCATGGTTGAGTTGATAGATGGTGTTAGGCCATAGGTTGGACTCGATCATCTGAGAGGTCTTTTCCAACTTTACCAATTCTGTTAATTAATTCCCAGGACATCATCAGGGAGTGAGTTCACTCCACAGCCCCTCTGGAAGGCTGCACAGGAGCCCCTCAGCAGGGCGGTGGGGGATTGCTCTAGAATGCCCCACAAGAGTGCTGGGCTGGGATGAGGCTCTCGGGTGCCAGCAGCATCTGTGGGACAATGTGTTTTCAGAGATCCTGGGGATCTGCCAGCAAACTTCAGGGCTCTGCTCTGGCTGGGGCACAAGGTCTGTGTGGGGTAGCTCGGGGTGGGAGAGGCTGGGAGGCATGAGGCAAAAGGGCATGGGGCCCTTGGGCAGAGGCCCAGCAGTGTGTGTAAAAACATGCTCACTTTCTCCCTCTCCCCTGGCACATGTAGCAATGATTTCAAAGATTTCTCAGACAGTGGAGAAAACATGTATTTACTGCCACTCCCCCACACCAAATCCCAGGGCACTTGCAGTAAGTTCAGAATAAGGATGAATGCTTGAGCAGGTGGCCAGAGGTCTCCAAAGAAAGGTAATACTCGCCAAGGGTGTTTACATCCTGCTATGAACTAGAATAATCTCTTTTATGCCAAACCACAAGCTGCTGGTGGAAACCTGAGCTGAACTTCCTTGATGATCAGAGGAGCCTGGCTAGCTTTCAGCACAGCCAGTTTTCATTTTCACACCTCTCCAAACTTTCTGGGACAAGAACCAAATGTATAAGCACAGAGTGAACTCCAATTCCTGGGACATTGCTGACCCAATCTCAAGCAGCATGTGTCAGAATATGCTAAAAAAAGTTGTTTTCTCTCAAAAGTTTTCCCAATTTGGCTCTTTGAGGCTTATGTGGTTTCTGCTGTTCACATAAACTACGGTTTTTGTCATCTGCATTTAGGTAAACCATGGTTTAAACTCATGAGGCTTTCATCTGAGAAAGCCTCACATCTTTCATGGCACCCAGCTTTTTCCCTTAATTGAAAAGCAAATGTTGATTCAATGCACACAAAGGCTGCACGTTTCCCAGAACACTGTGTGGAGATCTGTTCCTCCTGACTTTCCACCCGCTGATATTGCTGATGTATCTGCACACATGCTGGCTACCAGTTTCATTCCAGTGGATTTTTTGAATTCTGAGTGGATTTTGCACAGCCTGAACTAAGTCTGGAGCCTTACTGCTCTGGGCACACATACCAGTTAACTAGCACCATCTTGGGTGCTTTTACATGTCACACCTCCAGTTCCATGCAGACAGATGTCTGCTCTTTATATCCCAGTGGAGGTTTTATGGATGGCCATTCAGCAATGACTAACTCATGCAGGAAATAGCTCTAAATACTCCTGTGCATTTGTGAATAAGTATAAAGTGCTACAAAGCTGAGTAGTGTGCTGGGTAATAGTCCAGCCAGATGGAAACAGTCCATCAAACACCACAAGAAGCCCAGTTACTTACAATGCAACTCTTCCCTGTGCAGATTAGGGAGGCTTTTCTGCCTTAGGTGCTGAATAAATGTAAGCACTACTGCAGGATTGCTAGAAGTTCAAAATAATCACAAATATCATGTGTCCTCAACTGTTTGGGGGGAATTTCTCAGACAGTTGAAGAATTCTCCTTAGGGCTCCCCTGTAGCTCCTTTTAGGATTTCTGGTAACAAAAATGCATTTTTTACTAAAAACTTCAGTGCTTGTAGCCCTACAAATAGCAACAAATCAAAATATTTTAGCAAAAGGCAGTGAAAAACACAGGAAAGACAACAGCTTCCCTGAAGGTTTGCTGCATCCCATTTCCTTAAGGCATGTATAGCTTGGGTAATGAAAGGGGAAAGGGGATTCAGAAAAAACTAGAGGATGAGAGGTTCTGGAGCTTCAAGAGAGCCATGAAACCACTGCAGAAATACTGGAAAGTGTATGGAGGACCAGTACTGCTCATGATAATACTGGTATCTCTAAACAAGAGAGATACAGTATTAATGCTTCCCGCTGCATAATCAAGAAACTTTTGAGGAGCTGGGGTTCTTGTTTTAAACAGATTTCTGACCATCACAATTGTGGTAGAAATACAGGATGTTCTGAAATACAGATTCAAGAAATTTCTTTCTGGTGGTGGAAGGGAAGCCATTACCCTGCCAATTCTGAAACTTGGCTGTGGTCACTGGGCACCTGAGGCTGGTCACTGAGCAGGAAAGGACAATGCTCTGGCACTTAATAAAGTAGTGAAGTCCTCATCAGGAACAGACAGGGTTACATTCTGTTTCATGTCCTAAGCTCTCTCCTCCTAGAAGGATTTATTTCATTCTCTTGCCTGTATCTAAACCATAATAATGAAAAAAAAATTTCTTCCAGTTAAAAAAACAGTAGGAAAACAAGTAGAAAAATCTCCATTGTGCTAGTGATAGAATAACTTGCAGTGAGAGGTAGCATGATTTAGTTATTTTTTTGCAAATATTCTAGACACCATTTATATTAGTGCCAGCTTAAAAGTGTATGATTGCTACTGTTGTTGCTAGAGCTAAGTCTGAGAAAAGG